TCAGGTGCTTTCAGGAAACAAAGGAAGTGTGTCAGCTCCTTAAGTGACTTGGGAAAGTTCTCCCTCAGGTCCAAGGTAAATCCTGGGGAGCACCCTGCCTGGCTGAAATACTGCCTACTCAAGATGTCAGTTGGTTTCCTATGATTAAATCATGCTGGGAGAGATCCGACCTTTTACATATGGGAATCTTCCCATCCTCTATAAAATTAAAATCCTTTTAGCCACAAGACTGCTGTGCATAATTACATTACAAATGTCAAGTCCCTGTTCTTTCCTCCCAGCCACATTTCATATGCTCCTGGCCTTCTGTGCTGGGGGCTGAGGGAGTCTTTCCTCAATGCTGGGGAGGTTTGGGTAGCTGAACTCTCATTATTTGTGCCATGGGGACAGATGGGGCGTTCGGTGGGTTGGCTGGCTGCACTGGCCGTGACTGACTCTTCCATATGAAATACGGGCAAGAGACAACACTTCCTTCAGTGAGCAGCAGGCAGGGCTGGCACCCAGGTTTGTTGGCTTCCTCCATGGCAGTATGGCTGGCGGGAACCAGAAGCCTGGCTTTCCAGCAAGCACTGAATTCACTGCAAATTCAGGACTTGTGTCCTGTGGCTACACAACCCACTTCTCTCAATTTTCTCCAACCAAGAACTCCCCTCTCGCTAATTATGACACCAAGTAATTTACAGCTCCTGGCACTGCACAAATAAGACCAATCCCTAGCTTTGAGTCGAATCAGTTGCTGTCACTCACTGATATAAATTCTTACAGATTTTGGTTTTATGAAGCAGATTTTGGAGAAGATAGTGACTGTGGAGCAGTGAATGTCAGGAAAGGGAAAGGAGTGGTCATAACGCCACCCATCTAAGGCTACAACTTTGCAAGAACAGCTGACTTCCATCCCATTTTAAAAACAAGTGTTACTCCATTTTGTTCATGAGAGGCATGAGGAGTGTCTCTTCAATTGATAAGTAGCACAGGAACAGGGTTTGGGAAGCCTGTGAATTTAAGTTTACCTGCATGCAGGCTAATGGAAGAAAGCAATAAAATCCCAGCGCTCCCCCCTGGGAAGGTTATTTATCATTCAACTGTTCATTCAGTACTTGTTATATTGATAGCCCACTGGATTCAGCTGTTGTCTGTATCACATGTTTATCCAACCATTAATGAGTATTTATAATACAAAATAATGAGTTTACTTTTTTTAAAAAGCTACATGATGTAGCTTTAAGGACTAAATGACAGTATGGCATCTGTTACTTTTTGGATCACTGTAATTGGATTTCCATTAATTCTAAATTACTCTGGCACTAATTATCTAGTCATTCACTTCTTCCATTGGGGGGGCCTCTCTCTTTGGTCATTTTATTATTTATTAATATTGTCAGTGAAGACAAACCAAGGAAGTTGGCTCAGAATAGAAAAGGAGCAGGAAGAGGAAGAGGGAAAGAAGGGAGAGGAGAGAAGGGGGAAGGGGAGAGGCAGATGAAGGGATGAGTAGGGAAGAAATAGAAGAAGGGAGAGGAGGTGGTAGTTAATGATGAGTGGTCCCACCCATGTGCCTCCTCCTCAGCGGAAGAAATGAGATTTGCTTTATCCTGCTTGTCACCTCTGTACCTGGTCCGTACTGTAGGTGCTCATACAAACTAAACTTGGGAGACATTTTACACCACTTTAGGTGACTTTGTTCTCTTTGAGGATACTTACTTTTAAGGCTTAAAGGAAGAGACAATGCCATTTTTGTTTTTTTTTTTTTGTCTTCAACTTTAAGAAGCTTCCAACAGCTTTCAATGGTTGAGTGGCTATATCAGTTGCATGTTTATTTTATTGTTATGGGTTTCAAATTATCAGGACATGTAGCAATTGGAATGCAACATCTCTCTTTCTCCATATGACAGATTTGTAAGAGTGCCTTTTGATTCTATCATATCTATCCATAAAAGCAGAAATGGTCGTATTGTAGAGCTGTCAGCCAGAAAAATTACCCATATTGCTAATGGGCAGAACAAATGACAAGAGCCTCTTCATTGATACAGATAGTGACAAATCTGTATTAGCCTTGCCCTAGCAAACAGAAATATTTCCTCTTGTAAGAAGTCCAAGAAACTGAAGATTGGAATACAATCATTTAGTTGCTCTTTCTGACTTACAGTTTTGCTCCATACATTGAAAAATTCCCCCCACTTTTTCGTTTTGTTTCTGTACTTGCTCCTAAAACCATTCTCTAGAATGATTTTGTTATTTAGGGCATCTCATTGTCTAATGCTCTAGTGCTGTTTGATTCTATTTTAATTAAGACTTCTGTATGCAAATTTCTATGTTGACATTACATATGACTCAGATTTCCTATTTCACAAATGGCTAAGGTTCATAGAACAATTTATACTAAGAACTTTAATTAAAATAGAATTGACACCAGGCATCCGTGAACCTAGCTACTCTGGAAGCTGAGAGTTAATAGAAAATCTATGAGACTTCATCTCCAAAATAACCATCAAAAAGTAGGGCTGGCCAGGTGCTGGTGGCTCCTGCCTGTAATCCTAGCTATCTCAGGAGGCTGAGATTTGAGGATCACAGTTCAAAGCCAGCCTGGGCAGGAAAAGTCCATGAGACTCTTATCTCCAATAAACTACCAGAAAACTGGAAGTGGCACTGTGGCTCAAGTGGTAGAGTGCTTGCTTTGAGCTGAAGAGCTGAGGGATAGTGCCCAGGCCCAGAGTTCAAGCCCCATGACTGACAAAAAAGTAGGGCTGGAGGCATGGCTCAAGAGGTAGAACACCAGCTGTGAGCAAACAAGCCAAGCAAGCACAAGGCCCTGAGTTCAAGCCCTAGTACAGCTCCAAAATATGTATGACTACCTGAGTGTATTCCTATTCTATGTCCTCCCAATGGATGACTGACCACCTGACATGCTTCTCAGCAGGAACAGTGGATAAGTTAAAGGGAAAGGAGATGATGAGGTCTAGAGATGGTGTGTAGAGTACAGCTGCAGTGGATATGGCACTGAGAGCAAAGGCCTGGGTCCCCTTGCTACCTTTGCACTTCCCCAAATCCTGCCATCCTCCAGTGGAACGAATGTGCATTTGGTTTTCAATTCCAGAATTCTGAGCCCTAATAAGCTTACCAAAGTTCAATTAATTCTTGCATAGTATAGCTCAATATTCTCTTTTCTCAGAGAAGTTTGAAGGTTAGGGATAGTGAAGAAGAAGGAACTGAGGATGGAGGGTAGCTGCTTCTCAGGTAAGGCCCCTTGGAAGTCCTTAGAAGCCTTCAAAACAAGATGCTGGAACCCAGAATCCTCGCACAACAGTTGGCAGTTGTCACTGCTATTACTGTTATTATTATTTTGGTGGGGAGAAGGAAGCTGGAATGTGAAGACATTTAGAACCATTTTCTTTTGCAGCTTTCACTGGGCTTTCGGTTTGTGGTCTGTCTCCTCAGCTAGACTGTAAGCTACCAGAGGGCAGAAGCTCTCATTTTGCATTCTGCTTCTACCATTCTTCACTGTGGACTTAATTTTTTCCTGCCTCCTATGAGGTCGAAATACTTAGACTGTACATCACTTAGGAATGTGGATCTCTAAGGATCACTTAGGATTCAAGACAAAAAGCTAGACTTTTTTGGAGGTGGTTCTTTTAGTGGGGTTTAAACTTAGGGCCTGGACATTGTTCCTTAGCTTTTCATTCAAGGTTGGTGCTCTATCATTTGAGCCATACCTCTACTTCCAGCTTTATTCTGGTTAGTTGGATATAAGAGTCTCATGAACTTTTCTGCCAGGCTGGCTTCAAGCTACCATTCCCCCCAGATCTCAGAGCTCTTGAAGAGCTAGGATTATAGGTGTGAACCACTGTTGCCCAGATAGTTATTTATGATGTATGTATGTATGTATTTGGTGGTGGTGGGAGTCCTAGAAGCTGAACACAGGGTCTTGCACTTGCTAGGTATACTACTACTTGAGTTATGCCCATAGTTCTTTTTGCTCTCATTATTTTCTTTTATTGTAAAGATGCTATACAGAGGGGTTACAGTTACATGAGTAAGGCAATGAGCACATTACTTGTCGATCATTGTTACCCCTTCCTTTGTTGTTGTCCCACTATCCCTTCCCTCAAATGGACTTTCATGTTTGGTTGGGCCTGCTTGGACCACAAGCATATTTACATTTCCAGCACAGCTTAGATGACAGGCTTGTGGTACTACACCCCGCTATTGGGTGATGTAAGGGTCTCGTGAAATTATTGCTCATGCTATCCTTAAATTGATATCTTCCCAATCTCAGCCTCCTGAGTAGCTGGGGTTACAAATAGTCACCAGACCTGGCTGTTAAGCCGAATGCTTGGAACCTTATCTTTTGACTTCTATTTTGTTCTCAATACCCATTTTTTCTTAAGAGATTAATTTTTGTTATCATTTTAAAATCATTTTTCATTTGTCATTTTAAGCCTCCCAAGAGTATTCCAGGATGTTCTTTTTATTTACATTCTACTCTTGTTTCTCCTATGTTTGAACTGATGCTGGGAATGGAAGCTGAATTCCAGCTTTATTGCTAGAACTGTGTGAAGGATGACAGAATACTGTTTCCCCTATAAGGATCACTTAGACTATTATAAAGAATATAGCCATTTTGGAGGAAAACGCCTTTAGGGAGTAAATCACTATTATTTTTTTGGCCATTATAATTTACAAAGCAAAAATAACTCCTTTTTCTGATAGCATAAAATCACCAATAGGCTGCAATAGAAGTGTTTAGAAATCTCACTATGCCCTTTGCCTCAGCTTTCTGATGGCTGTATGCCAACTTATGAGCACTGTTTCTTCTATATGTTTAAAACCCTTACCAGGACTCAGCAATAGCTGCATGCTAGGGCTTCCTCTGAGAGGGACAATTAAATGACCAAGTCATGCAAGAGAGAATGGCTACATGGTAAATAAGATGCATATGCCCCTTCTACCAAGAACTTCCATTTTCTTTCCCTCCTTACTGCATTAGAAAAATCCAAACTTACATGTCATCGAAGACCAGTTTCTGTCTCTTGCAGTCTTTGTGGCCATTGGAACCTGGAGACCATGGCTCTGTTTGTGGCCGTGACTTACTGTGGAGACCATTTTCAGAATTGTGAGCAGCTTTCTAAACAATAAATAACACAGGAATCTTTTACACAGTGGCTGAAAGAATTAAACAGAACACTTTTTTTTTTTCAACAGAATGTCTTCATGTTCTGTGTTAGGACAGGTAGCAATTTCCCAGTGAAGAAAAAAATAATATATAGGTTAAATATCCCTTATCTAAAATGTTGGGGAGAAGAAATATTTAGATTTGGGATTTTTTTTTCAGATTTCAGAATATGTGCACATAAAAAAGTAGGATACATTGGGGATAGGACCAAACTCTAAATATAAATTTGATTTGTGTTTTATATACAAGTTACATATATTGTCTGATGGCAAAGTTTTTTGTGTGCTGGACCTGAGGCTTGAACTCAAAGCCTAGGTTCTGTCTCTGAGCTTTTGTGCTCAAGGCTAGTGCTCTACCATTTGAGCCACAGCTCAAATTCTGGCTTTTTGGTGGTTAACAGGAGATAGGAATATCATGATTTTCCTGTCTGGGCTGGCAATGAACTGCTATCTTCAGATCTCAGCCTCCTGAGTAGCTAGGATTATGGGTGCTAGCTACTGGTGCCTAGCTCTGATGGCAATTTTATACAACTCTTTGAGTGATTTTTTTTCTTCTTTTTTGTCAGTTGTGGGGCTTGAACTCTGGGCCTGAGTGCTGTCCCTCAGCTCTTCAGCTCAAGGCTAGCACTTTACCACTTGAGCTACAGCGCCACTTCTGGTTTTCTGGTGGTTTATTGGAGATAAGAGTTTCACAGACTTTCCTGCCGGGGCTGGCTTTGAACAGAGATCCTCAGATCTTAACCTCCTGAGTAGCTAGGATTACAGGCATGAGCCACCGGCGCCCAGCTGAGCAATTTTTTAAAGGTAGTATTGGGGTTTGAATTCCAGGCTTCACACTTGCCAGGCAAGCACCTTAACACTAGAGCCACACATTCATTACTTTTTTTTTGGGGGGGGGGTTGGTCGTGAGGCTTGAACTCTGGGTGTGGGCACTGTCCCTCAGCTCTTCAGCTCAAGGCTAGTGCTCTACCACTTGAGCCACAGCACCACTTCAGGTTTTCTGAATGGTTAGCTGGAGATAAGAGTCTCATGGACTTTCTTGGCCAGGCTGGCTTTGAACCATGATCCTCAGATCTCAGTCTCCTGAGTAGCTAGAATTACAGGCATGAGCCACCACGCCCGGCCACATTCATTACTTTTATGCTTTATGCTTTTGTTTTTGTCTTCAGATAGAGTCTCTTCCTTTTTTTTTTTTTTTTTTTTTTTTGCCTGAGATGCACCTTGGAATAGAATCCTCCTCTCTGCCTCCCTTGTAACCACTGCACGTGTATTACTGATTGAGATAGTATCTTGCTAACTTTTTGCCAGGGTTGGCCTTGAACTCTAAAATCTCAGCTTTCTACCCTCTGAATAGGGTTATAGGTATGTGACACCATGCCCACCCTAGTTTTTCCTTTTTGATGATGACCTGCCACATGAGATCAGGTATGGAATTTTCTACAGTGGCATCATGTCAGTGATCAACAAGTTTTAAACTTTGGAGCATTTTGAATTGGGGATGCTCCATTTGTGCCTTCTAGATCTTAAGGTGAGGAGTGATACATCTTGTTATCAGGTGTTATTCTCACAAGAACATCAAAGGAGAAGTCTTATTATGCTCACTAGTACAGATTGGGAAATTGAAACTTAGTAGATTAATCTACAGTGCTGGAGATCCAGTGGGGGAGGGTGAAGCTGTCTTTGGCACTGCTGTGTCTCTCCAAAAGTTGTCTTCAGAGATTCTCTGTGGGCCTCCCTCCATCAGGAGTGTAGACTGCGCAGGCTAGAGGCGAAGTGTATGTGTGTAGGGGGTGAGGAAGGTGCAGTTTTACTTTGATTTTCCTGGGAAAGAAAGGGCATCAACCAACCGTAAGGTCTCCGGCATGGCTGTCAGCCTTAGGCTTTTTGTTGGAAGAGGCAGAAGTGAAGACACTGTTGCCATGAGGTCGACTGGAAGAAGTTAAGTCCTCGCTGGAATATTTGTGTTTGGATACATCAGAGAGGGGTGAGACAGGTGACCGGAGCATTTTTTCATTTTTATTTATTGGTATTGCCACACTGAAAGGAAGAAATTACAGGGATAGAATGTTAACATAGTAGGCACAGGGAGAAGCGAATGTTTTACATATGCTCCATACCTCCCATTTAAAACCTGCTGGTAGGGAGAATTAAGACCACTGAAAAGCATAACTCATTGTTTCTTTACACCCATGTCAGGATGCATAGTAATTCTATAGACTGTGATAAAACAAGTGACTTAGCATAGTAATTCATGTTTCATTTTTCATCCAAGGATCTCAAGGTGATCAATGAACTTGGTTCAAGTGTGAGTGACAAGTAATAGGAAAGTTAATCAACAATGATGAACAAGCTTTCCTTCCCTTCCTTCTTTTGGTGGCACTAGAGTTTATACTCAGGGCCTTGCACTTGCTAAGCAGGTGGTCTATTGTTGAGCTGTACCTCCAGTTCTCCTTTGTGTTATTTTTGAAATAAGGTCTTGCTTCATATCTGAACTTTGATCCTCCTATTTGTAACTCTTCACATCATCAGAATGACAAGCTCACTCCCTGTCCCCCATGCTCAGCCACTGGTCAGAATGAAGTCTTATGGTTTTTCCATGTGTGATTGGTCTTAAACCATAATCCTCAGAGCTCTGATTCCCAAGTTGTCAGAATCACAGTAACTGTGCTTGGCTTGAGTTCTCCATTTCTAAAAGGGCTTTTGCCAATGTTTGAGCTATGCAAAATATTATATAGAAAACAACAGAATCACAGAATAACCTCCAAAGCATAAAGTCAACTTTACATTGCTGAGTTTCTGAATTAACCAGGTATTGTGAATACCAATAACTGTTATTGGTATTCACAAGTTCTGATTTCTAGCGCTTTATCTCATCTACAAAGCAATAATTTATTCTTGAATATAATGTTCTCCAAGATTAATTATCAGAGAAGAGGGATTCACTTATATTTATGTCTGAAATGTACATTATATTGTTAGGGTTCTTGCCATTATTTTACTTTGGGAAGAATACTGTGTGGGGCAGACACATTAGACACATAAATAAACCCAACCAGTGCTAGTTTAAGATGCTTGAATAGGTCATTTGATACAGCAATTTTACAAATAAGTAAAGCCATCTAATGAAAGTTTAGTTTATTCTTGGGGTTATGATCTCTTAATTGTATGTGTTGGTTATCACTGCAAACAAGCCACTGAAATCAGCTCAAAAAGCAATATAGCCAGGTGCTGGTGGCTCATGCCTGTAATCCTAGCTACTCAGGAGGCTGAGATCTGAGGACTGAGGTTCAAAGCCAGCCCGGGGAGGAAAGTCCATGAGACTCTCATTTCTAATAAACTACTCAGAAAAAGCTGGAAGTGGTACTGTGGCTCAAGTGGTAGAGCAAAAGAAAAAAAGAAACCAAAACAAACTCACAGAGGGCACCCAGGCCCAGAGTTCATGTCCTAGGACATGCAATCAATCAATCAATCAATCAGTCAATATATATATATATTCCTTAGCTGGTGATCACAGTGGGGAAATTTCAAATTTAGGCCATTATTTCAAATGGTAAAGCCAAATTCTTAATGTATGCAAATACATACAGGTTTTCTGGCTCCAAAAGCAGAGGATGTCCAACAAATGTCCTCAGAATGAAATGAGAAGATGTGCTACAGAAAACTGCTCTGGATGAATAAAAAGTAGCTCATTGGTGCTGATGTTGAAGATGGATATGATGAGCCTGAATAAAATCATTTCTTGAAATGTCAGTAAAAAAGATCTGTTCCTAAGTGTGTATTACTGTATATGTGCATGGAAAAACAAATTACGACATTAAATATAGTCATGGACATGGAACTATTCTTCAGTACTGCAAATCTCCTCTCTGGAATGGGTGATCAATTACCTAGGCTATGATTGTTTTATTTACTGATAAAACCTGATAGTAGTAATCACAATTCCAGATGTATTCAGATCACCTTTCCCATAATAACTCTATGCACTTTCCTATGCATTGTGTCATTACTTAACATATGTGACACTATCGCATATATGCTACTCTGCCAGGTAGAGTCTCTACAACAGTTAGGTCCAGGATTTTGTTCAGCAAAAGTTACATCTACATGTTCACCAACCTGTCTCTGAAACAGAATTATTTCCTTCATTACAAGTGAAGGCAAGAAACCAAAGGAGTTTAAGCCGGAGCCAAAACAGCAATATCTATTATTGTGTCTCAGTAGAAATCACAGGTGTTTTAGTGTCATATTATAGTTGTCACAAACATCTTGAAGTATCACTTACACTCATTACTCTTCAATGATTATGGTTGTCCCTAGATTGGCTAGAAAGGTTATTTAATGCACAAATGAAGAGCTTATTGATAAACTCTTATTAAGGGGCTAGGAATGTGGCTTGCTGGTAGAGTGCTTGCCTAGTATTCATGAAGCCCAGGGTTTAATCCCTCAGTACAATGTAAACAGAAAAAGTCAGAAATGGCACTGTGGCTCAAGCGGTAGAGCACTAGCCTTGAGCAAAAAAAGCTTAGGGACAGTGCCTAGGCTCTGAGTTCAAGCCCTAGGACTGGCAAAAAATAAAATAAAATAAAATAAAAATTAAGAAAGTATTCCCATCTTCCTAAGTCTCTGGGGACACCATTCTTTCCACACAGAAGACTGATAGGCTGTCTCTGTGCCTGTGTGCACAACTCCTCTTGCTTACTCCTTCAGCATCCTGGCTGCCTTCCCAAGGTGATCCTGACACTGTAGCATGCCTATGTGCTCCTTAACTCTCCAATTTTCTCTCTGAGTTTTAGTACTGCTCTCCATCTTTCCCTAACCTTTCAGTTTATGTCTTTATGTGTTTTGCTGAAACATTAATCTCCCCTTAAGAACCTTTGTGTACAGTCAGGAAGAGTGAGGAGTGTCACAGCTGAGGAGAAGTGGGTCTGTGCTGAGGTGTTTCTAAATGGAAAAGCCTGTATGAGTGATGCTAAGCTCCTTGCTTTAATGAATACCTGGGACCTTGCCTTGCTGGAGAGTCATTTATTACAGAAGAGGTTGGTGCATGGTAGGGCTATTTGTAGCTCCTTTACAGGATCAACTGGGTGGCTATTTGACCTTGGAAGCACATATCCTTCTTACCTCCACAATTTTAGTTTACATCCAAGAGCCGTAGGTGCCTCACCTGCAGATGTCACTAGTAAGTGGCTATTTCCTCATCCTTATAGTAAGCTTAATATTATTAAGCTGATTAAAATATAGGCTTACAAATTCATTTATTAAGTTTTGGGGGAAGGGAGCTATCTTTGGGAAATGCAGAACTTGTCATACTTGAAAACTGGTCTTTGTTACAGAGAAGAGCCTGACATAGCTACTGGGGTGTAGCCAGAGGCTTATGTCCAGCCATAATTATTCAGTTAAACCAAGAACTTAAGATCCATAGACCCCTCTGGCTTACTTCCACCTGCCAGGGCACAGCTTACCTACTGATGTTCATATTGCAGTGGTTCACAGACAAGGTACTGTTGGCAGATGCAGCCAGTCTCAAACAGCTATCTTTTTCTCCCTGGACCTTCTTCATCTCCCTGTAGTCATCTTCGTTGTCACACTGCGTAGGAATAAGCAAAAGCCAAATCAGTTTTGGACCTGGAGTGGTCAAAGTGAGCTCTAGGATACTGTGACAGAACAAGGGCTCTGGGGAGATCTGCTTACCTGGCATCCTGGAGAACAGGCTGAGCATCCAAGCCTTTGGCATAGGCCCCCAAGGCATCTCCTCCACAAACAAGGAGGAATCTGTGGGGCTTACTATCCACAGCTTTATTTATTTAATTTTGTTTTATTTTATTTTGTGCTGGTCTTGGGGCTTATACTCAGGGCCTGGCACTGTCCCTGAGCTTTTTATTTTTGTCAGTCTTGAGGCTTGAACTCTGGGCCTGGGCACTGTCCCTCAGCAATTCAGCTCAAGGCTGGCACTCTACCACTTGAGCCACAGCTTCACTTGTGGCTTTTTGATGGTTGGTTGGGACTAGGAGTCTCTCAGACTTGTCTGCCTGGGCTGGCTTTGAACTGCAAGCCTTAGCTCTCAGCCTCCTGAGTAGCTATGATTACAGGGGTGAGTCACTGATGCCCATCTCTATCCACAACTTTTTGAGAAGAAAGGCAAGATGTCAAGATCAAAATTTGGAAGGGAACATTTTGAATTACGAAAGTTGCTTAGAATTTAGTCTTCCAAAAAAGTCTTCTGAATTCACACTGTAGCTTAAGTGTCACTTGTCCTGGCACTTCTTGATATTAGAGTAAAGGATAAAGAGGTGCGTGTTCTCTGCTTTATTAGGGTAAGAGTGGTGACAGGCCTTTGCTTTGAAAGTCACGCCTCTTGTGAATAGCAAGCAGACATTATTATCATTTTGTGTCCTAATTCTAGTTCCCAGTTCCTGTGGCTTCTTAGAATTCTGAAAGTACCTTTGTGTAAGACCTAGATTGGATTCTTATTGTCTCTATGTTTAATTTTAGACTAGATTAGACTGTAATACAAATCATACCACAAAATACCACTTCCTGGAAGAGAGGTAGGAGCCAGTCTTGTGTGGGTCCTCAGGGCTATGTGTGGTATTTTCCAGGAGACAGTGAGACAGAGAGACTCTGACCTTCTCTTTCTAGCACAATGAGACTGTCACTCTGCCACCGAAGACTCCAGATGCTCACACTGTAATATGAATAGTCTAAACGAAACTCTTTGGTTCTCAGTGAGACCTGGCACCTCTGGCAGCCAAATCAAGTGTCTCAACTCCAGGATTTAGCATTGAAGTCTTAATGCCAGGATACTGAGTAAAAAGCACTATGAAAAATGTACTTTCACTTTTCTATGTTTGTGTTTACTGATCATTTGTCCAGTTTCTTGAGTAGAGCAGTGTCACATAGTGTAAATGACATTTTATAATGAACATAGAAAGAAAGAAAAAGAAAAAGAAATAGAAATAGAAAAAAATCTCTGGATGCTGGTATAACCTTAGCTACTCAGAAGGCTGAGATTTGAGGATTGTGATTTGAAGATAGCCTGGGCAGATAAACTTGAGAGACTCCTAATCTCCAATTAGTCGGCCAAAAGCTGGAAGTAGAGGTGTGGCTCAAATGGTAGAGCACCACCCTTGAGCACAAAAGCTAAGCAAGAGCATGAGGCCCTGAGTGTCAGCCCCAGTGCCATTGAAAATAAAGAATAATACAACCATTTCAATATAGAATATTATGAACTTTACATGTTTGTCTCTCTGTACATCTTTCCCTCTATATATCTATACATGTATCTATGGTACTTAAGTATATCTTTATAGTGATACATATTTCCAATCTACCAATGTGTATTATTTACCTTAGCATAGTTCTTATATATCTCTAACTTATGTACTTTTATCAGCCTGTCCATCTCTCCCTCAGGGAGCGGGTAATATCTATACTCACTTCTACATGACTAACCAGCTAATTGATTCAACAGAAACTGAGCACCAACAGGTAACAAGAAAAGCAGAATACTGACTGGGAAACAGAAGGAAAGAGGAGCAAGGAAGAAGTGAACTAGTTGTTTTTTTGAATTGTATTGTTTTACTGAATGAACATGACACCACATCATTTTACAGATGAAGAGTCTGCTGATGAATCACTTTTATGCCGTGAGTATGACTGCATGCCTTCCCCATACACACTTCCAAAGATGAGGAATACTTTCATTTTGGCTAGGAAAAACCCTACTCTCTACTTGCTCTTAATCAAGGATTCTAAATAAGTATCAATCTCATGTAGGCAGTTTTATTTATCTATTGACAGATCAGACTGCCCTTTGGAAACCACATAATCCTTAGACATTCATTTTTTTTTCCTTTTGCTAGTCCTGGGGCTTGAACTCAGGGCCTGGACACTGTCCCTGAGCTTCTTTTTGCTTAAGGCTAGCACTCTACCACTTGAGCCACAGCACCACTTCTGGGTTTTTCTGTGTATGTGGTACTGAAGAATTGAACCCAGGGCTTCATGCATTTTAGGTAAGCACTCTATCACTAAGCCACCGTCCCAGCCCTAGGCTGACATCTTAATGCAACATTTCAGGCCTCTGCTTACACAAATGTCCTATGTCCTCAGAACTCTGTTCATAGCCCTTCTTCACCTTGAAAGCCTCCTAGATCAACACTACTGGAAGCAACTTCTGATACCACAGGCTGGTTCCAGCCTCAGAGAATCCAGTATTTATTGCCCACTCCAGTAACAGCCTTAAACCCCATTGACTCTTAGGTAGATGAATGGTCCTCTCCCCTTACAGAAAGAATATTCACCATACATCAGCCTTCTCATATACTCAAGCTTTCAGCCTGTATCTATCCATACACACTCGATAAATATGTTTTGTGACTTTCGCACATTTAGAATAAAATGAGAGCAATCCCACTTGCCTCATTGGGCTGTCCTAAGGATTTACCCGAGATTATGTCTGTTAAGCACTTCCAACAGTTTCTGCATATATAAAGTAGTATGTAATTGTTTAAAGACACAAAACACCTGCAGTGACCACAGTCCAGACCAGTAGCCCATCTTGCCCTCAAGTTAAAGCAATTCCCTACGCCCTGGCCCTCTGCCCTAGGCTTACCTTGCGTTTCCTCTTGGATTTTGGCAAAGCCTTTTCTGCCTGAGTGTCTAGTGTGTGGCTGGGCGGTGCACTCTCAGTGTCTTTGGCCGCTGGAGCACTCAAGATCCCCGGTTCCTGGGGAAGGTGTTCTGGTATTCTGGACAGGAGAGTCAAATCAATTTTGACCCAAAGAGACCTGACCTCATCACTGTCCTTCAGTGGTGAGAGAAGTTCGTTGCGGCCGAAGGGGACCAGAGTGTAGAACTGCTCCTCCAGCTCCTTGGCGATGTCACTGGTAGTCCTGGCGTTGATGGAGCCTACGGGAGCCCGGGGGCCACTGCCAGTGCTGATGCTGCTGGCAGTCTCCTTCAGTCTCTGGTCACTCCCCGAGGTGGCAGCAGGGGCCACCGTCTGCGCTTTGGCTAGAGGGTACTCCTCCTGCTCGGACTCCAGGTCCGAGTCAGAGGAGGAAGATGAGGAAGAAGACTCGGTCTCAATAAACTCCTTGGATTTGGGGACAATCCTGCTCAGTCCCCGGGTGCGCCGCTTCTCACAGGCCACGGAGGAGCGTAGCTCCTTGCGGTGGCTCGTTCTGGTGTTGCCACAGGGCTTGGTTTTGGCAGGTTCTGGGGGAGCCACCACACTGGCCCCCAGGGTGTCTGTGCCCGTAGGCTCCTCTGACCGATGGCAGTTGGCACTGTCCCCTGCAGAAGTCCGTTCTGTGCGCCTGGTGGGCTTCTTGCCCGCAGATCTCCGGGTGGGCGCGGGTGCGTTCTCCACGGGTGCGCTGGGCACCGTGGATGGCGGGGCAGCAGTGGTCACTGCCACAGCCACAGCCACAGCTGCGGGTGGGGATTTCTGTTTCACCCCTTTGCTCCCTGGGCCCTTGTTGGCTGTCCTTGGCCTCTGCTCCTCCTTGCAGGCAGTCTTGACTTCCTTTTCTCTCAGGCTGGTTTGGCAAATGTCAGTTAGTTTCCCACAGTCCTGCACATCATCTTTTACCGGGGTGTAGTATTGATTGCTCTCTGGCCCGTGGCTTTCATTTTGGATCAGAATGGGAGGCTTGTGGGGATTAACTTTGTTTAGCCATTTATCCAGCTGCCACTTGTTAGAGGATGCTGGTTCAGCCTGAAAGCAGAAGACCAATCACATACAAAACATCTTTTATTATAGACTCACTTAAAAGGGGCCTGCCTTATGTTTATCTTGACATATCTCCTCTGGGTATGTGAGTAAAACATATGGAGCTGCCAGCAAATGGGAAATGGAAGCTATGTGTATGTGTGCCAGCCCTCCTCTGGCTTTCAGGATGCCAGGAGGGTGCTGTTTTTACCAGATGTGGTACAATGCCAGCACAGCATTTCCAAGTCCAGTTGACAAAAATAAAGGACAGTACTGTTTCAGCAGAACCCCACTTCTGAGTGCTAAACAATACAGATACACAATGTATATTTATAACTATACATACCTGAATAGATTTGACATTCCATGGAACTGAGGAATAATACCCTGGAGGCACACAGCCTTACAGCACTCATTTATTTATTTACTTTGACAGTACTATAGTTTGAACTAGCTAAGCTGGTGCTCCACCACTTGAGCTATGCCTCAAGTCCTGCTTTTTTGCTGGTTATTTTGGAGACAGAGTCTTGCAGACTTCTTCTGCCCTAGCTGGCCTTCAACCTTGATCCTCCAGATCTTAGCCTTCTGAGTAGCTAGGAAAATAGGCATGAGCCATCAGTACTTGGAATTTATTTATTTACTTGTGGTAAGATTAAAAACGGGAAATCCAAGCATCTCTGATCTCAAAGAATAACTGATGTGGAGATGGTACGTAGAGGATGCAGGGAATTTAGCAGCAGAAGCAAAACTTTGGAAAGAGGGCTCATTTGGCAGAGAATCTCTGTTTCAGGGGACTTGGGATGCTCTGTACACTTTGGTAGCATGACCTGGTTAGTCAACCTGCTTCTGTCACAACGTTGACAGAGGTGATGATAGAAAGCTTTCCTGCAGGTAGTTTTGCTAATTTAGAGCAAATTATGGATGTTATTGGTTTTAAACTCCAGTCCATAGATTAGTTGGGTGAGGGGACACTGAATGCCCTGAAGCAATAGCAATGTTGTAGAGATGTGAACTTCTGGGCAAAGTCCATAGTTCTGAGTTGACTCTGAGGATTTATGTTCAAGGAACAGGTTAGAACCTTTTACAGGGACTACATACTGCTTCCTAATAAAAGTCCATTTCAAGTCCATTTATCTACCATTGGGATTATTAGTAGATAAGAGGTACACTGGGAGGTAGAAAACTTTAGCCAGAGTATTTTCAATTAGTAACCATAACTGAGATGAGAAGTCATTTGGAGGGATCCAGGGGAGAAACTTTCCTTCTGCATGCCTCCAACTTTCAGGGGTAGGTCAGATACCAGCCTAGAACAAGAAGGCTTAGTAAGCCAAGCCTTTGGGGCTGGGGGGCTGGTAATGTGTGTGCTTAGGATCAAACTTCTTGTAATCAATACACAGCTGAGTAACAGCCCCATCTCCTTAGATTTCTATTTCAGACTTGATCAGTTCAAGTCTAGAACCAGAGACAGTCAACTCATGTGGTAGGAGAAAAAAAATTTTAAATATAAAAAATTCCAAAAGCTACCTTTGATAGTTCAAGATTTGTTTTTTGCTGGGTGCCGGTGGCTCACGCCTGTAATTCTAGCTACTCAGGAGGCTGAGTTCTGAGGATCGAGGTTCAAAGCCAGCCTGGGCAGGAAAGTCCATGACTCTTATCTCCAATAAACCACTTAGAAAACCAGAAGTGGCACTGTGGCTCAAGTGGTAGAGCGCTTACCTTGAGCTGAAGAGCTGAGGGACAGTGCCCAGGCCCACAGTTCAAGCCCCATGACTGACAAAAAAAAAATGTTTTTCAACAGTGAAGTCCATGTTATGTGTAAAGCTTTGGGCTTTGGGTGTAGTCACAGATCCAAGAGGGGTAAGGCGTTGCTGTGCCTGAGACATTAGGGTCCTGGCTGAACCTACGTGAGTAGGGATGGTGTAGGGTATGGCTCAGGGGATGGGAAGCTTCTGTTGGGCCAGAGATGGCAGAGATATGTGGAACTGGCCATAATGCGTGGATGCAAGACAATCAGAACTGTGGTGGAGACCATGGACACCCTGCCTGTTGCTCCCAATAGATGAGACTATACTGCAGGGAAAACCTACTTGGAGTGTCCAGTGACACCCTGTGACAGAAAAAAGAAAATACAATGAAGACCACAATATGGATTTTATTTTTTTGGTTGGTCATGGGGCTTAAACTCTGGGCCTGGGCACTGTCCCTCAGCTCTTCTGCTCATACAATATGGATTTGAAAGATTCATTCTGGAACACAGGGGGAGGAATGATGACATCCTTGGGCCCCCTTGACTTTTTCTTAAGTTTGTATTCATGCTACCAAAAAAACTGGAACAACGAAACAAAACACAGGGCTTCAGAATAGAATGCCAAGAACAAAAGATGTACCTCTTCAGTTTCCCTTATCTGTAATGCTTGGGACTAGAAATGTTTTGGATTTTAGACTTATTTTTTATTATTATTTTGGATTCTACATCTTTATCAATGGGTCTATCTATCCTATCTATCTATCTATCTATCTATCTATCTATCTATCTATCTATCTATCTTGATGTGGCTTATCCTCACTTTAAACATATAGCCTGAGGATAATTTTAGATAATATTGTTAGTAGTTGAAACAAAGTATCATGGTGTGGGATTTTCTGCTGCTGGCTTCATGTCAACCATGTTTCAGATTTGGGGCACTTCAGATTTGATTAGGGCTGCTTAATCTGTCTTTTTTTGTGAGCTGCTGAGTTGAAAGATATAATTCTTCAGAGAAAGGGAAGACAGAGACCTTACAGAGCATAAATGGTGAGGTCTGCAGGGGCAGACTGCATCTGGTGGCAAGCAGGGTAGTGGGACACAGAATAGTTCTTGCCCAGGGATACCTCCTGAGGTTATCAGCTGAAAGATGATTTGGTGGCAAACATTCTACACCTTCCAATTTTGTCCTCCCATTCCCATTTTCATCCCTATAATAGTATGAGTGAGGCAGTACCTTTGGTTGGGCCTCAATTTTCCTACAGAACTGGGACCTGGTATATAGGCCTGTAGGTAAAAGAGACATGTAGAAAGGGGCATGCACTGGGACAGGGCTCACAAACCAGAGCAGCACCCATCTTTTCTGCCACACAGCTCTCTTCCATCCCAAGCCTTCCACATCTCCTGTCTCTTATTTCAGAGAAATGGAAGTCATAGCCAAAGCACAACTGAATACAGAGAGTCACATAGAAACTTGCTGGTGGGAGCATTAACAGTGAACAGCAGAATTTAAATACATTTAGGATGGGGACGTTGCCTGATGTGATCTAGGGTCATCTTTTTTTCTGCACTTCATGAGTGAACAAATCAGACTGAAGTGCCATTTTCAACATGTCACTAAATCACATACTCTTTCTCAAGGATCTACAACCATCTCCTGTTGTCTTTCAAACGAAATCCAAATTCCCATGCAACCATTTTTCATTGCCTGAACACGTATAATATGCCTCCAATTTTACATATATTATCTAACTTTTAGAGATAAGGAATGTTATCTTCCCTAATGTGTAGATGAAGTTCAGGGAGGTTAAGTGATATATCCAAATCTACACAGGACCTAGGCTTCACAAAGACTACACTCATACTTCCTTAGGTATAAAGACCAAATCCTCTGCCCTGTTGTCTCCTTTGATCTCTCTCTATTCTCTGGTGTTGCTTCATGAAAGGATACCTAATTCCTTTGAGAAATGTCAGTTTTTGCTATGGTTAATTGCGCGTGCATGTGTTAGAGCTGGTACTGGGACTTGAACTCAGGGCCTGGGCACTGTCTCTGAGCATTTTTGCTCAAGGCTAACATTCTATCACTTGAGCTCCACTTCTGGATTTTTTGGTAGTTAACTGGAGATAAGAGTCTCATGGGCTTTCCTGCTCTGCTCAGGCTGGCTTTGAACTGTGATAATCATATCTCAGCCTCCTGAGCAGTAAGAATTATAGGCCTGGCTGTTTTTGACTGTCTACCTGAGTGGATGGAGAGGCACCTAGGAGACTGGTAAAGCATACCTCTGGGTGTATCTGTGAGAATATTTCCAGAGAGGATTAACTAAGAGTGGAAAACTGTTTATCATAAGCTGAGGTCCTAGAGGGAATAAAAAGGGAAAAAGGAGAAAGCCTGTGAGCACAGGCAATTCTCTCTGGACATCATGATGTGAGTTGCCCTGCTTGGCCACCCCATCCCTGCCATGAGTAACGGAAGCCCCTGAAGTAGGAAGCAAAATAAACCTGCCTTCTTTTTCCTTTCAGGTAATTAGTCTTAGCACAGTCCTCTGGCTAAAATGATGGCCTTAGATCTAATCTTCATAGATAACTAACCCTGCAAACAGTGTATCTACTCGTATTAATACTTGATAAGCACACACTTTTTTGTTGTTTATTTTGTTTTATATGAGATAGGGTCTAGCTGTGTGGCCTAGGCTGACTTAAAACTCATGATCTTTCTGCCTCGGCCTTGGGATGACAGGTGTGTGCCATCACCTGTGGGCACAGTGTTGTCTGTTAATGTTTGTTTTAGATTCATATATATGTCTTATGTCTTCAACAAAGTCCTACTCGTCTTTTAAACTAGGGCCAAGTCTCTTTCTTTCTTATTCCCTTGATGTTCCATACTAGTTCTGTGAGGTCAATTGTTCTACCTTTGCTTATGATGAATGATCTGTCACTCAAACACATTTGTTCCTCACTGATTAGGCAGGATAGCAATATCTACCATTCTGGAGGCAATTTTGGCCAGGGAAGCTGAGATAATGGCCAAGCTATATCACAGAAGGAAAACTCAAAGTTTTAGCCCTTAGCTTACCAGCATGCACTGACAATGTCCCATATTCTGAGACCCACATCCTGGGATTCTGCCCAGTGGTTTTTATTGGTTTTCTGGCTTGCTACTTTATATACTCTATCACAACTCCTTCCTGATTAATCTTCCCTCTGATTCACCCAGAAACTCTCCTCATGTCCCAGCTTCACTGAGATCCTCACCAAACCCCATGTCATGAGCCTTCAAGGTCTACTGCACCAACAAGACATGTGCCCTACACTTATGCTGATTTTTAAGGATGATATGGTGCAGCATTTTCTAAAATGTGCTTTCAGTTAATATATTCAATGGAGGAAGTTTGCCATGGTCAATCCACTTGGGAAATGCTGCAATGGAAAATGTAGTTTATACAAACAGTATGAGGGCTAGGGGATGTCCTGTGTAAAGAAATGGGGTCCATCTATTTTATCCTAGATGTGACCAGGCAGGTAGGAAGTCAGGATGTTTCCTCTCTCTCTTTCTCTTTGACCTGGACAGTTTAGTTCTGGGTGAGAGAAACCCATGTCTGGTGTCGGTTTTCCAGCTGTATGGGAAAGCAGCTTGCCCTGGGGAAGTATGAGGGCTCACAATGCTAGGAAATGTTCCGAGACAAAACTTAAGTGAGCCAGGCTTTGGTTGCTCATGGCTAAAATCCTAGTTATTGAGGAGGCTGAAATCTGGATGATTGTGATTTGAAGTCTGCCTGGGAAGAAAAGTCCCCCAGACTTCCATCTTCAAATTAATAAGCAAAAAGCTGTGCTGGAGGTGTGACCCAAGTAGTAGAGTGTCAGTCAAGCTAGTAAACTGACCAAGCTTGAAGCTCTGAGGTTAAATCCTAGTCCTCCCTCCCCCCCAATCCAAACATTTAAGTGAGAAGAGGCTAAGAACAACACAATACATAGCGGGCTTAGAATGAGTACTCACAGGCATAGAAATGTTGACAGAGGCTCTGCCCTGTCAGCTTGTAAAAGTGGCTTTACCATACTCTAGTGACTCATGTAAAATAAAGTGCTTTTCACCAATCTTAGCCACAAAGATCAGTTCATATGAAGCTGTGAACAGTGAAGAGAAAACCCAGGTGTCTTGGAACATCAGAGGTGTCTCCTTCTACTTCCATGACAAGGAGGCTCTGGAGGAGATGTGAAGGTCAGGAGCATTTTGCTTCAAGTCAGTACAACCCAATCAGAATAGTAGAATGTGAAGTGTGTGATGGTTAGGAGCCAGCTTCTACGTGGGATTCTGAAACACTGGTCTCCCTACTCTGTAAGGCAACCTGGGCCAGCTGTGTCAGCGTGATGCACAGAGGTATGAAGGATGAGCAGTCTTGCTGCCTTCTAACTTTGTGATTTTTAGTCTGCAAACATTTTCTTCTTATGGGGAATGTTGTATGTGTTTACCTTGGGGGAAAACATTAAAAGAATCTGACTTTTATTATAATGAATGCTTCCCTTTTCAATAGGAAGGAATAAGGTAAAGAATGGCTAATATGTCATTTCTGCATGGAGAAGCAAGAAAGTGAAAACATCATGTACCTCTCAGCAACTGAACTTCCTGAGCTCCTTTAGCAGACTTGTGCTCCCTTTCTTTAGCTAGATGCCTAAAAGCTGTTGAAGAAATGGAAAAAAGCTGCCTCTCATCCCCAGAACTCTGGGCTTTGTGATGATCACAGTGACTGTTAGAAAGAACTCAAAGTACTTTGTAACTGGACTGATCTTAGCCAACATCCCCTGCTCTAGGATTCACTTTGCAGTTTGAAAATAAGATTCAACAGTGGCCAATTTAACCTGCAAATACACCACAAAGAAGAGCCTGGACACAGGAATCTTTTCAAATACTCACCTTTTATCCATCCCTAATCCTGCTCTTTCACTGTCTCTGGGACTCTTATTTCTTATAACTAAATATTCTGGGTGCTCAACCAATTACAGTGTTATGAAAGCCTGGTACCTTGTCTACTTGTTCTATTTTATGTATTTTCCTACTTTAAATGAGCCTAATAGAATGTTAGCACCATGAAGATAGAGTATTTTCTTCAAGCCAAACAGAGTCTGTGGCTAATAAGCATTTGTAGAGTGGACATTGAATGAGTGAATGAATGAGTGAATGAGAAGGCAAGACTAATAATTCAGTTTCCAAGAAAAGCCAGGGTCAAAATAAATGGTAAGGCTTTTAATGTTAAGGGCATACATCTTATGTAGACAGATAGGGACAGGTAGTTAGGTAGATAGAGAGGCAGGAACTTTGTAGAAAAGAGAGACATGCTGAAGAGAAGTCTTATTTCAGATTATTTCCACTGAGTGGAAAAGGTACTGAAGAGAAAAGAAGAGCTGCAGGGACATAAAACAAAACCTGTGAAAGTTTAAAAACCACTGTGAGGGGGCTGGGAAGGTGGCTCAGTGGTAGAGTGCTTGCCTTGCATGCATGAGGCCCTGCATTCAATTCCTCAGCACCACATAAGCAGAAAAAGCTGTAAGTGGCGCTGTGGCTCAAGTGGTAGAGCGTTAGCCTTGAGCTGAAGAGCTGAGGGACAGCACCCAGGCCCAGAGTTCAGGCCCCACGACCGACAAAAAAAACCACAAAAGCAAAAGCAAAACAAAACAAAATAAAAAAAAAAACACTGTGCAAACTTGACAAGCAGTCACTTTCACACAGGTTATGTCTGAATCACAGGTACACAGCTGCACATAGGTGTTGCTCAGGCTCCCAGGGTACCACCAACTCCTGGCTGTGGTTTGCAGGAAGGATTTGGTTTCATATCAGAGCCCAATTCGAATTTGGCCCATGAATGGTGCAGAAGGTTGTAGGTAAAAAATCAAACCCCACAATCCCTGGGGATGTCCAATGTTTATACTCTCAGGGAGGATACTGTATCTTATTCTTTTTATCTGCTTTAGAAACCAAGCCCTCCTGTTATGGCTCCACAGATAGAAAAGTTTACTCTGGGCCCTCACCCAAGAATCCTCATACTCTGTTTACTATTTAACCCCCCTTTTCCACTTTAGAGTAGAAATAGCAATCGTTTTTATTGGTACCTTGTAATGTGTTTATACGAGGTACCTAAATCATCCTAATAGATACTGATCATGGCTGTAAAAGGTTTCATTATTATTTGTAGGGAGATGCTAATTTTCCCTTTTATATTTTCTCAAAGAAAACACAGTTAAGAAGGTTTTATTAATATTTATAGCCCTTGTTCGTCTGATCCGTGACAAATTTGAGAAAAAAAAGGGTAAGATTCTAAGCATGGCTAATGCATAAAACTCCTTTCCCTGTGATTTATGAGTGGCCACACTTCCGTGGGGGGGGGGGGAGGTTGCCTGTCTCGTTATTGCCTAAGCTGACCCTGAGGGAGACCCTGTCCAGAGGTTATTTCCTGTTAGTGATGTTTATAGCATATGTGGAAATTTCTAGAAATCGAACAGATTTTTCAGACCGTGAAAGATGATGCTTTGTACTTCAAAGGAAGTGGTGTCATAAGGAGAATGGTAGGAGGGAACACGATCTGGAAAATGTAAGCCCCCAATCTAATAGGCTTCCAGGTCTGTGGGAAAGTGGGGAGCAGACAGGGTGAGAACTGGGACTGGGACCTTGCTGGCATTGGGGAGATGAAGCGTGGCTTACCTCAGGGCTGGAGAAGTGGGGGGCCTTGCTGCCCTCACTCTCGCTGGAGCTGCTCTCTGTCTCAGAGTCGGATCCAGAGCTGCTTTCTGAGTCGCTGGAGGAGCTGCTGCTGCTGCTGCTGCTGCCGCTGCTGCTGCCCTTGCTGGACAGCACGGAGCCTCTGCAGTTGGTCTGCTGGACCACGGTGCTGCCAGCCCATCGCCACCCCCCCCAGGAAGGAAAGGGAAGGAAAGCCAAGTGAGCAAACAGGAAACACCAGCAGGCTGCCATACCCAAAAAGGAAAGGGGAGGCAGTCTGCACTCTGTCAACCAGGATCGGGACTTAAGGAGCAAACATCCAGGTCAAAGGCAGCTGGATGGTTACACAGAATTAGACCCAGGAATTCAACTGAGAATGAGAGTTGGTTGGTTCTTCTTGGTAACTAGGTACTGGTTAAAGCACGGATGCTTTAGGAGGGAAAGTGGTGTAATATACCAGTAGCTGTTTTGCACCACTGGTGGTGGTTATTTTTTGTTTTTTTTTTTTTTCATCTGCTTCATTGCTTTTTATTTTTTAAATTTTTTAATTTTAATTTAATTTTTTTTGTGAACATACTGTACAGAGGGGTTAAAATTACATGGGCACGGGGCTGGGAAGGTGGCTCAGTGGTAGAGTGCTTGCCTTGCATGCCTGAGGCCCTGGGTTCGATTCCTCAGCACCACATAAGCAAAAAGAAAAAAAGCCGGAAGTGGCTCAAGTGGTAGAGCGCTAGCCTTGAGCTGAAGAGCTAAGGGACAGCGCCCAGGCCCAGAGTTCAGGCCCCACGACTGGACAAAAAAAAAAAAATTACATGGGCAGGATAATGCATACATTTCTTATCAAGCATTGCAACCTCCTCCTTTGTTTACCCTTCACATCCCTTCTCTACCTCCCCCATACCCCCCCCACCCAATCCTCCCCTCCCCCCCCCCACCAACTTGTAAAGCTCATTTTCGACATGACCTTGTACTTCTCTTTTGTTTTTTTTTTTTTGTCGGTTGTGGGGCTTGAACTCTGGGCCTGGGCGCTGTCCCTCAGCTCTTCAGCTCAAGGCGAGCGCTCTACCACTTGAGCTACAGCGCCACTTCCGGTTTTCTGGTGGTTTATTGGAGATAGGAGTCTCAAGGTCTCTCCTGCCCAGGCTGGCTTTGAACCTCGATCCTCAGATCTCAGCCTCCTGAGTAGCTAGGATTATAGGCGTGAGCCACCAGCGCCCGGCTTGGTGTTTTTTTGTTTTTTTTTTTAAATAAGTTTTTTATTGTGAGAATACTGTTCAGAGGAGGGGTTACAATTACATGAGCAAGGTAATGAGTATGTTTCTTATCAAGCATTGTTGTCTCTTCCTTTGTTTTTCCCCTCCCATCCTTTCCCTCCCATCTCCACAACTACACTCCAACCACTCTGGCCCACCCTCCACTGTTGTTTTAGAGATGGCGTTTCAATCATCCTGAACTCCAGTCATCCATACAAACAGAAGGAAACCCCCAAAACCTGAAATATTTTGGGTGTCAAGGGACTTTGCTTATTTCTGCCATAGAAGAAAAGGAAGTATGCTGGATGGCAAGGTTTAGGAAGAGTTCTGTAGGGGCAGCACAGTGCTCTGCCTAGAACTTCCATGGTCTGCTGGAAGGTCCCTCAGAATTTGGGACTGTTGAAGCTAAAATCTTGCTTTGTTCCCTTTTCTGCCTGGAGAGTCAAATGATGTAGTTATTAGGGGAACTGGCATGGTGTATAAAAAGCAACCTTTCTTTTAGTCATTTCCTAAAGAACTGAATATCTTCTCGGTCATCATTTATAGATTCCAGACTTTAAAATTCAACCCTAATGCCATGGCTTATAGAAGAAACAAGATGTCAAATTTAAACTCAATGTTTATATACATGCCACAGGGTCTTTATATAGTCAAACACAACATAAAAAAATGGTGAATGCTTTCCAGTGGTAATTCATAAACCACAACATTTCAGATAGCATACACCCATTCAAAGAGTGTTTAAGTCAAAAGAAAATTTCAGTACTCACATAATATTCAACATCTTCCAAGACCCTTAATTAATGGAACTGAGACACACCTGGATGTGTTTTATGGTTAAGCTCTAAACCCAGAAAATGCTGGTCACTTTTAATGCCACGTCAGCAAAAATCTGCTTGCTGCTTCCAATTGTGACCATGACTTTATCAGACTGAGCATTAGTGAAGGTCATCAGGGAGCTTGTTAGGGTTTATGGTCTCAAGTGCAAAGCAGCTGGACATTTTAAAGAACCCTTTTCATCCATACCTTAAATCTTTGACAAATGCTTTGCCCAAGGGCAAGCTGTCATAAATCCTGGGTGTGGGGGCTGGGAGGGAAGTGATACTTATTTAAGTCTTTGTTTCTCTTATAAAAGCTCTAAGACAAGAAACTATCTTGTATAGAATCTGGTAAAAAAAAATCACCCTTTAAAAATGACGGAGTTAGGGGAAAGTGGAGTTTGAATATAACCTTCCTTAGTGGTTTTTATTCCTTTCCATCAATGTCATGGTCCATACCCACTGTCTGCCCAAATTCTTCAACATCAGACACTATCTGCAGATTCATGCTGTGTCTGAGTTGCAGCAATGTCATTTCTAGCCTATCATTTATGCCTGGTATGGAGACAGGAATGCAGGGTCCCATGACAAAGGGTAGTTCATGCTCAAGGGGCTGCAGTATTTCTTTCTTGTGAGTGAAAATTTATCTTCTGCTGGCTGAGTGGATCTGGGTACAATCAATGGGAAAAATATGTTATATATGCACACACACACACAATTAAATTCCAAACATGAGAATCTGGGATCCTTGTTTAAGTTGGGAGGTTCCGAAAATATTGGGGATAAAAACACAGAAAACAAAAAAAAAAAAAAAAGAAAAAGAAAGCCAAACAACATATGGCTCAAAGGCTTCTTGGTAAAAGGCTGGTGGAAAAAGACAGGGCAGAGGCTAGGCACCAGTGGCTTATACCTCTAATCATAGCTACCCAAGAGTCTGAGATCTGAGGATTGTGGTCCAAAGCTTAGACAGACAAATCAGAGAGACTCCTATCTCCAATTAATAACCAAAAGACTAGAAGTTGAGCTGCGGCTCAAGGGTAGAGCATCAGTCTTGAGTAATAAAACTACAGACAAGATCTAGGCCTGGAGTTCAAACCTCAGGATTGGCACACATGCATGCAAATATAAGCACATGCATGTGCACGCAAGCATGGGCACGCGAACGCACACACACACACACACACACACACATTCACACACAGAAATAGGAGAGAGTTGTATCTTCTTTTTACCTGGGAACAGGGGGACACATCTTGGAAATTAGGATATACAAATAACATTTTGATTGGTTTAACAAAATGATGGTCAATGTCCTTGATCAGTACATTCTATCTGCTTGCATTTGTACACTAAGATAAACAAGAGATTCTTTCATTCTGTGGGCACCTAGGGCTGTGAGGTGTGTGGAGTTCCCTGTGGCCTTCACTACAAAGCGAAAAGTTGTCTTATGCAAAGCAGCATTTTAACTTCTGGGAAAATGCACATTTTTGTCATATTAATTTAGGACTTCTGGTCCTAAATTAATAAGACTCACCAGCCCAAGGAGACAGAATTAGATTGGCAGAAAAGCTTTATACTCTTGTGTTTTTCTTCATTAAATTAGGAAGCTGACTTAAAATGCCACAGCCATAACTATTAGTTGCTTTAAAAAACAGCTGAATGAGCCTGAAATTTACATTTCTTCATGCTGAATTTAGAAGGGTTAAAAGTATCATGACATCTTTGGGTCAGGATTGAATATATAGGCAGTTTTAAATTTATGATGGTACAAAAAGCATTATGTAGAAACTACATTGAATTTTGAGTCTAGATCTTTCCCTAGGCCTGTAGTCTACAGGCCTAGGCAGTGGCAGTGGGACAGCCACAGCTCTGTTGGCTAAGTAACTATGAGGGGAACCAACTGAGACTCTTGTGTGTCGAGATGTTTGGTAGGTTATCTGGATTAAATGCATTTTCAATATACTATGTTTTCAATTTCTGATAAGTTTATCTGGACAGAGTCCAATTGTGAGTTGAAGAACATCTGGTATTTGTTTCACTATGGGTAGAGAGAATGTAGCTAGAAAAGATCAGTGTCAAGGGCAGGCAGGCTTGCCCAGAAGGCCTCTGTTGGCCAGCTATGAGATCAAGAGATCCATTCACGCATCCCCACATCCATGAAGGCCTCTTTATGGACTAATTTTTACCCAGGTCTTTGAGAACGAGCAATCGTCTTGGACTCAGTATAGTGATTGTGCTTGTGCTGAGGGCACGCAGATGCTTTGTTTATGCTGGGACGGAGATAACAGTGAGAGCAGAATGAGGAGAAAGCCAGGGTGGTCTGCCCTGTAGAAAAAGAGGCTCAGTGGTAGAGCGCTTGCCTTGCATGCCTGAGGCCCCGGGTTCGATTCCTTAGCACCACATAAGCATAAAGGAAAAAGCCGGAAGTGGTGCTGTGGCTTAAGTGGTAGAGTGCTAGCCTTGAGCTGAAGAGCTGAGGGACAGCGCCCAGGCCCAGAGTTCAGGCCCCATGACCGGACCCAAAAAAAAAAAAAAAAAAAAAAAAAAAAAAAAAGAAAAGAAAAAGACTCCTTATGGGCTGGGAAGGTGGCTCAGTGGTAGAGTGCTTGCCTCTCATGCATGAGGCCCTGGGTTCGATTCCTCAGCACCTCATAAGCAGAAAAAGCTTGAAGTAACTTTGTGGCTGAAGTGGTAGAGCTTTCACTTTAAGCTGAAGAACTGAAGGACAGTGCCCAGGCCCAGACGTCAGGCCTCACAACTGACAAAAAAAAAAAAAAAAAAAAAAAAAGACTCCTTACTAATAGAAGTAGGTTCTCAAAAAGACCTTACTGAAATAAGATGGTAGGGTTTATACTGTTAAAATTGCAGGATGGCGCTGGTGGCTCATGCTTATAATCCTACTCAGGAGGTTGAGATTTGAGAATTGTGGTTCAAAGCCAGCCTGTGTAATAAAGTATTTGTGTAGTAAAGTCTTTGAGCCTCCTACCTCCAAACCAAAAGGCTGGAAGTAAAGCTGTGGTTCAAGTGGTAGAGCATTAGACTGGAGGAAAAAACAAACAAACAAAAAAGAAGCTCAGAGATAGCACCCAGTCCCTGAG